CCCAAAAGGGTCAGAAACACCAGTTCAGTGAAAAGGTAGCATTCAAAGGAGAGCTTTAAAAATACAATATTCTTATCAGAGGAAAAAGCCTGGAAAACGACACCAACTATTAAGTCGTGGCTGGAGGGAGTGGGTTTAGCTTCCTTCTTTCCTCAAGCTTCTGTGTTTCTACTTTGAACCTATATTTCCTATATATTTACCATCATCATCACTGTCGTCATCTGCCTGAATTATCTGCTTCCTAATTGCTCCCGCTTGTTTTCAGGCCAATCCTAATGGCTTCAATAATCTAGACACGCTTATTCACAATGGTGGCGAGAAATTAGAAAGCAGCAATGATTCTGAGAATTCTCCTGAAGCTAACAGTTCAAACTCTGATCAGCATTATCATGACCACTGAACATTCACTGATCACCTACTAAGTGTGAGGAACTTTTAGGCAACATGACATAAGGAAATGGCAGGAAAAATCAAATTTCAGTTTTGGTCTCCACTTTGTGACTTGGGACCTCAGCCAGCCTCCATCCATCGCCTCACCTGAAACTGGGGACTGCCACACCTGCTTCTCAGAGCTGCTCCAGAAAGTGTTTATAAAGTAGCAGCTCAGTCTCTGGTACCAGTAGGTGCTCAAAAAAAATCCAAACTAGACTAACAACAGCCCACCAAGACGAAATGTTTCTCTACAGCTACTAGCAGCTCTGGAATTTCCCCCAGGAAGGACAGGTCACTCTCTCCAAGGTCACCCAGGCTAAAGGACAGCAGGTGAAGGGACATGCTGTTCCCTGACAGACACACGCCTGCCAGCTCACAGGCAGAGCTGACAGACCACGCCAGGGCTTACTTTCCGAATGCAGTATTTGCTGAGGTTCTCATTGTAGCGCAGAATGATGACTTTGCTGGGCATGGCTGCACAGATGCACAGCCCGTTCTCAATCTGAAAAGCAATGAGAGGAAAAAGAAAAAAAGAAAAAAGAGTGTCATTGGAGTATATACTGACTCAAAGCAAAACTAGGAAAAGCACATCAATTTAGAGGTCGGTCTCTCAACCTCGACACCACTGAGCCTTTGGGCCAGATAGTTACCTGTGGTGAGGGGCTGTCCTGTGCATTGCAGGATGTTTAGCAGCAACCCTGGGCCCTACCTAGTAGATGCAATAGCCAGTTATGACATGCAAAAATGCCTCCAGACACTGCCCAAAGTCCCTGGGGGGCAGACTCGCCCCTGACTGAGAACCACCGATTTAACAGAAATGCAGAGAAAGGCTCAGGAAATCCACCTGCTCCCACACACATTTTGTGTGTATGTGTCATTTGCTGGAGACAGATTCTTTTGAGAATCTTATCCCCCCAGGGAGGGGAAAGGCAATAGACATTGCTGTAAGAATCTGGAGAAGACTTTGGTCCAAAAAGAAAAGTTCTTAGCTAAGATCTGTGTATACAGTGTTCTACATTAAAACTCTTGTCTTTCTAGATCAGCTGAATCTCTCTTACTTCACCTCCTACACCTAGATCTTTGTCATTTCACCAAGGGTGAAAAGAAGCTTATTGCTCAAATCAGTCCTGAAATGAAGGTGGCTGTCAGGGTGGGTGGAGGGAAATGGGACGGAGTAGGGGAGGAATACACAGGAAAATCAGAATTATTGGAATTTTTGGAAACTAAGATGCACATTTCTAAGTAACTCATCATTCAAAGAAAAAAATTGAAAGAAATTTAAAAATATGTGGAATAATAAAAATGTACAGTGTGCAACCAAAATTGTAGTTAGAGGAAAATGTATAGCCCTAAAACGCTTATATTAGGGAAAAAGGCCTGAAAATTCATTAAACATTCCGCCAGCTGAGGCGCTGAGGAGAGCTCACCTTGCCAGCAGCAAACAAGTGGCAGCCCTTGACAGCTTCGAAAACGTTGGGTGAGATGTCTGGCTGGGCAGGAAGGTGAGACTGTGCCAGGGACTGTTTCACTTTCTTCACATCAACAAGACACAGGGCCCGCTCTTCTCCTGAGGAGAAAAGGAATAGCTTCTTAGTCAGTGTGAGGCCAATAAGCAAAGACTCGGGATGGCAGTTCTAATTCTATTCACAAACAAAAGCCAGCAAGGCCACCCAGTGGGCTGTTTTCCACAAATTCCCATAAACACAGTTTAGGTCCAAGTTTTCGACCTCAAATGAAAACACCTAGTCTCTTAGTCAAGATTCTAGGAGAAAAAAAATTCTGCAGATAGAAAATCAGACAAGGTGAACTATACTTTTCAAACGTGCTCCCCACCAAAAAAAGAATGCCTTAGGAACGAGAGGATGTTTTAGAAAACAATAGGCTTGGGCTAGTCCAATATGGCAATGTTATGAAAGACAAAAGAAAGGCTAAAGATCCATTCAGGTTAAAGGAGACTAAAGAGACATGACTAAACGCAGTGTATGATCCTGGACTGGATCACTACACAGAACAATAAATACTCTAAAGGATATGATGGGGGCACAGATAAAATCTGACTGTGGGCAATATATCAGAGCATTGAATTCCAGCAAGGGTTAAACTCCATAAATTCATAACTGTACCATGTGAAACTATTCTGTATGATGCTATCAAAGAGGATTCGTGCCACAACCTATGTGTCCAGACCCATAAATATACAACACCAAGAGTGAACCCATGTGTAAACTATGGACTTTAGGTGACAATGATGTGTCAGTGCAGGTTCATCCATTGTAACCAATGTACCCTCTAGTGGGGGAGGCTGTGTGTGGTTGGGAGCAGGGAGCCTATGGGAAATCTTTGTACCTTCTGCTCCGTTTTGCTATGAACCTAAAACTTCTCTAAAGAATAAAGTCAAGACCTAACCAGTTTTGCTCAGTGGTTAGAGCGTTGGCCCAAGGACAGAAGGGTCCCGAGTTCAATTCCGGCCAAGGGCACGTACCTCGGTTGCAGGCTCCATCCCCGGTCCCTGTAGGGGTTGGGGTGCGTGCAGGAGGCAACTAATCAATGTGTCTCTTTCACATCGAGGTTTCTCTCTCCCTCTTACACTCTCTCGGAAAAGTAATGGAAAAAATATCCTAGAGTGAGGATTAAAAAAATAAGAATAAAGTCAAGTAGGGAGGAAGGAAAGGAAGGAAACCAACAAGAAGAAAGAAAGAAACACACAAACAAAGCAAGTAAGAGCAGGGAAAGAGCTGAGAGACCAAAAGTCAGCTCCCGACCATATTTGTTCAATCCCTGGATCCATCCAGCTGTGCCTAAAACAAGACCTAACTGTGGGTATTTCCAACGCTGAGCCAGTAAATTACTGTTTTCCCTTAAAAAACAAATAAACAAACAAACAAACAACAGTAGCACCAATAAAGAGAGAGAGAAAAAAATTTTGCCATGGTTGTGTGGAGGATACCCGATTCTTAGGTGATATGCTGAAGAACTGACTGTGTATTATAGGGAGAGAGAGAGAGAAAATGTTGCAAAACCTTAACAAGTGGTGAATCTACACAAAGGGTCTCCGAGAAGTCAGAGATACAGGAGAGAAAGCTGGCAGAGCAGCAAGCTCTCAGAAGGTCGTGGCTCACAGAGGTATTAATGCAACAAGGACAAAGGTCTGACCTTAACGAGTCTGAGGCTCGCTACCCTTCACCTGGCATGGTGAGATACACTGGACCCCAAGGGAACCGAAAATGAAGCGAGCCATCAGCTTGGGCACAAAAAGGGACAGAGAGAAAAGAGCTACTTCTGCTCCCACCTGCTTTTGGGTTTTACAAGCATGACATCTGGCTTTCAAATAGTTTTCCTTAAAAGTGAAGAAAAAGAGCCATGTCCTTGGCCTACCACCTGCTATCATGAGTAGCTTCTCCAGGTCCTTGATGATATAAATTTGGAAGACTGCTCCAATTCCTGGGACGTGGGTGAGGGAGTTTTTCAAGACATTCAGTGCATAGAGCCCTTCCTCGGTGCCCACCAACACCACCTGCAAGGGCAGAAGTCCAAAGGTAGAACATAAGTATCATCACGTCACCATAACAACCCCAAACAGAGGAAGAGCCGCAAAGCCGGCACAGCTCTTTCTTTCTTGACTGCATATGGCTGTTGCCAGACACCAGCTGACAGTGTCCAGAAAACATCGTCACCTGGTCGCTGAAGGGCAGTGTGCAGTTCATGTCCAGCCGGTCATCACCTTCCAGTTTCAGCAGGGAATTTCCAAGCAATTTCTTTTCATATATAAAAGAAAATAAGAAAAAAAAGAAGAGAGCCTGGTGAGATTGAACTGTTCATGGCCAAAACATCCAGAGAGACAAAAAAGCAAGAATGCAGAGAAGTTTAATCCACAAAGAAAGGCAAGTTACTCCTGAAAACACGCAGAAACACACATCTGCTTTTGGCTTGCCTCATATTTTGATCTGACCTCAAAAGGCAAGACATGAATCTTATCGCTATCTCCGGGGTGGTTGTTAATTAGCATCAGAGCTATAACTCCCCTTGGACGCAGAGATGAGTATAATAAATGTAGAAAATATTCTGGGGTGGGAAATAAGCTGAAGCTAAAGAGATATCACCTGCAAAGGGTTAATAAGCCACATGGAAGATTCCTTCCCCTCCAGGCTGCAGCAAAAGTGCAAAGCACAGCATCAGCAGCAAACCAACAAGCTTCTGAATCTCTTTACCTGAACCCACGCAGACAGAAGCTCATAGGGAATGCAGTCGTGGCCCTATTGTACACATATTAACATGGATTTCAGTAAAAGGCACACGTGGGTAACAATGAAACAGGTCATTAAAACAAGTCTACCCGGTGAGCAGAGTTCCTTATCAGGAGGCACATGGGTAAGGATTTCCGATTGCTAGCACTTAACGTGTTTATTAGCAGCTAAGTGTTAGAAAAGAGCTGTTTGGTCTTTGATGGAGAAAATGCCAGGGAGCAATGAGCCCTGTTTATATCCTGGAATGTTCCAGGAGGGCTGCTGCCAATCAAGGCACACCTACGTTGCTAACATCTCAAAGATAAGTAGGATCTCGAACCTGCCTACAGAAGAGCAAATCGTGTGGAGGTGATTGAGAAGGTTATGAAAAGCCTGCCTGGAGTCGGCATGGCTGCCGGCAGCCTTTTGTGCTGTTTCACGGCTGAAGGGCTTGAAACTCAAGCCTTCAAACCAAATAAATTCATCAGAGTAAACAAGGGAGAGGATTTCCTTACAAGTCCATTAGCTGCTGTGTTGCCAGAACTAAGAGGTGGCTAACAGTGCTGACTTCCCCACTCTAAAGGGCTGTGGGAGGAGCCCATGATACTAGACAAGCCACCTGAGAGCCTGTATCTCTGTCACCACAGAAGTCCTGGTCATCGAGCCATCATCCCTCAGAGAAGGAGCTCGAGGGAAATCATGACAGCCAGCGGGACCCCCACCAAGCCAGCCCACTTTTCAAAGACAAGCTCTAGCACCCGTTGTCATACTTACAGCATCGGCTTCTGCTTTTTCCCTAGAAACTCTCCCACCTGCGACAACTGATTCTAAGGCGGTGACCCAGCGCTGTTTGTCGGGGAAGCTGGGAGCTAGCAAGTAGAGGGTTCTCCCGGGCCAGCAGGTGGTGTGCGGGTGGGATTCCATCTTCAGGATGTATGGGACATCTAGGAGATGCGACAGAGAGCACAGGGTTGGGTGTGGATTTCCCCCACTCCCGCCGGGAGGGATGGCCCGGAGGTATCAGAGGTCTCATTGCTAAGATGGGGGGAGCTGAGGACGGTGGGCCCCTCCTGCCCTTGCTGACTCAGCAAGCCCAGCCCAGCTCCGAGGCAAGGCTCCTGCTTCTCCTCACCTGCTTTGGCTGTATTTGCGAGTTCAGAAGCACCAACGGCGCCATGAATAGATACGTCCCCGTCGGGAAGGCACAGCTCAAATTCTTCCACAGGCCTCTGTCCAGCTTGGTGCAAAGAGGAAGGGCAGAAAGAAAAACAAAAGAACAGGAACAAGAACGAGGGGAGAACAGAGAAAAAGAGAAAGAGAGAAGAAGAGAGAGAGAGGGAGCGAGAGAGAGAGAGGGGGGGAGGGCGAGAGAGACAGTATGCGTGGAAAGAGAGGCACACGAGAACAAAGGAGGGAAGGGATGTGCAGAGAAGGCGGAGAGGGAAGATAAAAAAAAATAAAGTGTGTCAGATGAGTAGCACAGTCAAATTTCTGATGACGATGCGGATTTATGGGTTAGTTGACTGAGGCAGAAGTTCTCGGAAGGTGTATTAGCAGGTGGAATCTTCAGGGCAGCACCCTGCAGGGTCTTCAGAGGGGAGACCTATAGACGTGAGTATCGTACCAATAACCTTTAGCAAAGTCACTTGGTTTTTAATTTTCAAAAATGGAATATCGTAGAAGGCTTGCAACGCAGTCCGAAAAACAAAGCCTTCACGCCAAGCCTGGGAGCCCTGGGTCCACCACGTGCAATAAAATCCCCCTGAATTACTAATTTACCTTCTCTGGTTTCGTTGTCATAGATGAGGACTTTGGATCCCTCCAGGACAATGTACTTCCTGTCCCAGCCTTGCTGTCCTCGTTTGTTATTCCTGGGAAAACAGAGATGGAAAAGAAAAATGTTCGAACTCAGAAGACAATCAGGCAGGAGGAAGGGGTGAAGTGGGGAGGGGATCCCAGAGAAATTATCACTAGAATTCTCTAAAAACACCTGGAATGGCAGTGGCCAGTGCATGGGAGGAAAAACTTCCTTCGCCCCTCTAGGTTCTGTGGCTGGCAAAGGAGTTCAACTGATACCAAACAGAGGAACAGGAGGAAAGCATACAAATTGTATTTTATATCACCGTCTCCAGAAGAAAATAAAGACCCCAAAGGCCCAAGTGCTTGTCTACTAAGTTGAACAAAGAGTAATAATTGTGGAAAAGTGACTAGAATGTACAGGAAGGCCAGCCCTGACTCCCCATCTCTGATGACAAGAATGTTTCTTTCCTCCTGATACAAGGAGGGCAGCTTTTACACAGTTTTATCTCTGACTTTCAGGAAGAGAAAGGGGAGGTCAGAATGTCCTTGCACCTGCTGTTTTGCAAGTGCTTTTAGTTCAAAATAATCTTTACCCCCAAGTGGCGTATTTTGGGGTGGCAACATTCTGCCACCCTTCACCAAGCCACCCTGCAATGATACCTGGGCACCTTCATCCACCCTTCTAGGTGCAAGCCGCTGGTGGGCTCCTTGGTCTGGAGACCTGGGGAGTTCATTTTGTCACGGCAGAAGGCCTCAGTGAAGTGTGTGGCATATTCGGCGGGCAGGCCACAGGTAGCTGGCAAGCACGTGGAGCACTTGGGATGACACATCACCTGACATTCTAGGGAAAAGCAAGGAACAGCCTGAAAACTCACTTGACTGATCCTGGACCATTCCCCTCCTCCGCCAACCAAATTCTGGCCAGGCCTTCAGCCTGGCTTGTGTCATCTAAGTAATCCCCAAGCTTTCCCAGAGGCCAGGCCTCTACAGAGACAGGAAATGAGAGAGCCAAGTGCTCTCAATCCAATTGTCCTGGCTTCTCCCAGGCTGTCACAAACAGATGTGTAAGGAACACATTTGCACATTCGAGTTGGAGCCAGCAAGCACAAAGCCTAATGGTAGGGAGAGACCAGGCTGATAAAAAGGGGGCTGGAAATTGGCAAAGCCCAAGGCATTTTGCACAGGAGGTTGGAGATCTGAGCTGAGAAGAGGTATGAACTCACTCCTCTAACAGGAGAGAAAGAGCACCCTCCCACTGAAACAAGAAGCTTGGAAATGAGTATACTCCACGGGACGGAGAAAAACTGCCTCCGCCAGATAGATTTTTTTTTTAGGTGGAGACACATAGGGGCCCACCACAAACATACCACTGCTGCTCTTACCAAGACATTTAGATGCCTGGCGTCCAAAGTGCACAGTATCCAGACACACAGCGCACTTCGTGGCTCGCATGTTCAGTCCCACATTAAACCGGTGGGGAATATTGTGGTGCATGCGCTCCTTAAGACGCCGGCTGAATTCTGGAGAAAAATTTTTAAAAATCATTAGAGTGGTACAAATTATACCGCCAAGAAAGTGAAAGGAGAGCCCACAGAACAGGAAAAAATACTTGCAAATCATATCACTGACAAGGGACTTGTAGCTAGACCATATAAAGAACTCTTACAAAGCAATAATAAAATGACAAATAACCGATTGAAAAATGAGCAAAGGATCTGAATAAGCATCTCTCCAAAGAAGATAAATAAATGGGCAACAAGCACATAAAAACATGTTCTACATCATTAGTCATTAGGGAACACAAGTCGAAAGCACAAGGAGACCCCGTTTGTGCGTCCATGCATGAACTACCGCTGGGGGATGCAACGGGTGGCTCCGGGCAGGGGAACTAGGCCTGGGGAGATGGGAGAAGCTCTGAGCCTTACTCTTTATACCGTATTATTATTATTTACCATTTTTACCATATGTCTGAATTTCTTACTGGATGAAAAAAATGTCAACAAAACTCCAACGGCCTGAGAACGTACCCTCTGGAGTTGAAGACTCCTTTCTGCGGCTGGACGGCGGGGCGAGCAGGCTCATGGCACTGGGCTGGTGCTCAGGTGACCGCACGATGGCAGACATGGCGATCTGCTGCCTCGCAGTGGCTGGCGTCGATGGGTGCGGGTGGTCTGTGGCTTTCCGGTGAGCAGCTGGGGAGAGAGTAGCCCAACACCTATGGTTAGCCAAGTCACCGAGAGGCCCAAGCCAAGCGAATTGCCCCTGGGCTGTCTTTCAAGGACCCCCAAACCAAAAGGACAGGCATTGTACCAAATCGGCAACGCCAAGGATGCCGTGAAATTTTCAGACTTTAGGTGTCTGTACTGAAAGCTTATGGGCCAACAATACAGATGCTGAGCTAATCTTGAGCAATCTCCTTGAGATCGGGCCTAACACTGCACAGAGGGCTGGGAGCCCCTACCTTCCTCCCGGGCGGACCGGAGCTCGATACGGGTCTTCTGAAGGGCTTCCTCCAGCTCTGCACAGCGAGCTTTCTCCTTCTCCAGAGCCACCTTCAGCTCATTGTACTGCAGAGGAACCTGTGTGGGCAAAGCAGGGTCCTCTTTCCGTCGACTAAATAAACCCTAGCAATGGAAACAGAGATATCTCCTAACTCCTGGAAACTGGCACTTTAAACTAGCTAAAGGAACTCTGACTCGGGGAGAGCACACCACGAAAGCCAGGAGCATACTCACTGTAAGCGGATTTAGTAAAAATGGCATGTGAAGGGGGGGAGGGGGAGATGGGTCACAGCCCGTTCCAGCCGGCTGGAAAAAATAAGGGCGCACAAGTTTTCACCGAGAGGGTTTAAAGATGCTTCGATTGCCACTGCCTCTTCCTTAAGCATCCTCAAGGAGGAGAGCCATTTCCCGATTCTTTACCCTCAAAAAATGCAAGTGGAGGGTGGAGTCAGGAGAGATGGTTCGGAAATCACTCTTGCCTTGAATTCGTCTCATGATGCTTAGTTACAAGACACAGAGATGAGTGTTTCAAAAAACAGAGGCAAAAAAAAAAATGAAATGCTCAAACTGACATCAGAACAAGGGGCTTACTCAAAAAAAATGGAAATGGAAACGTGTGTTGCACATGGAAGAAAAAAAGGAAAACAGAAAATGAGACCAAAAAAAAAAAAATGGAAACACCCTAACTACATCAAATGACATAATCAGATAACAGTCCACTGCTAAAATAAAAAAGATTAAATATCATAAGCATAACACACAGTCACACAGTATGCAAGAAGCTCCTTCCCCTGCAGCCACCACCAAGCAGTAGGCTGATTCCGAATGCTGCTCTTATCCCCTTACTATAAATACAGCATCGGGAGCATTGAGGCCAACTGCCCACTTCAATCCTCAGTATCCCCAGTCATCAGAGGCCTTGCCTGTGGAAATGCTGCCACTGCTACTCTGCTGTAGGACCGCCTTTGGAAGGAAACTAAATTCTTTACAGGCCTTTGCAAACTGAGAACACCTTTGGCCAAAACTCACAGGCGGGATTCAGTGGTCCAGGGAAGCATGTGTTGGGCTTATTAAAAAATAAAATCTTCCCACCCTGGCCGGTATGGCTCAGCTGGTTGGAGCATCCCCCGTGCACCAGAAGGTTAAAGGTTTGATTCCTGGTCAGGGCACATACCTAGGTTGCTGGTTTGTCCCGGTCAGGACGTGTTGGGGAGGCAACCAATCAATGTATCTCTCTCACATCAATGTTTCTCTCTCTGACTCTCTCCCTTCCTCCCTCTCTGAAATCAATTAAAAACAAAATATTTCTGTGTGCATCTATATTATATGAAACCCTGTCCATAGTTTTATGGGGGGGGGGGGTGTTTTGGGTTAGTTTTTCATTTGTCTGCTACAATTTTAAAGGGATGGAGCAGCAGTGCTTGGTGGAGGGTGTAACTATCCAGTCAGGCACTTTAAGAAGGTAACTTTAGCAATCTGGGTCCCAGTCACTTCATGAGCTAATCAAAAGGACCGGGCCAGGTGATTTCTAGTCTTCTCTGGAGTTCCATATACATGGCCTGTAATCTCCCTGGAGTCCCATACCTGTGACCTGCTAATCCCTCTGGAGTCCCATACACCTGAGCTGAGAGCCCCTCTGGAGTCCTGTATAGTGACCTATGTATAAACCTTTCTCTGTGTTATCATCACCACCCCAGTTTCTTAGGTTAAAAAAAAAAAGTCATTCCCCTAACAGTGACAGACACTATTATTTTAAAGGCCATGAACATAAAGTACAGAGTTGATAATGATATCTTCTCTTTAAGCGCTATTCTGATTATCTGAAAAGCTACATTTCAACCCAAAGTAAAATAAGAAAATGTACATTTTGTTTTCTTCCATATCCCCTGGATTTTCTATCACTGTGGCTGTCACTGAATCATAACGACCAGGCAAAATGCCAGCTCCCCACTTCCCAAACGTCCTGACCCACCTTTTTCTTTTTAGCTGGCTGGTCCATTTTGGCTTGCAGGAAGTCAATGAGTTTGGTTTGTTGAGAAATAGTGCCTTCCATTTTCACCTTTTCATGAGAATAGAGAACCTGAAATTCATGAAAACAAAAACAACCTCAGACCCAGAAAGTATACTTTTAAATCTGGCACTTTATAAAAAATAAAGTCGATAGGATACTAGCATATGAAAATTCAACACAAGCACACTCAGTAAGTATTTATGTACTTAGTCCTATTCTTATGCCCAAAAAGGGGGGGGGGGACACTGACGGAAGGATAGACGTGAAAAAGTAAAAACAGCAAGTTTTAATCTCAGGGGTAATCGTTATAGAAGTCTCCCAACTCCTCGGGATGTTTGGAAATGTTCGTATTGAAACACTGGGAAAAATACACAACAATGCACAACATAAAGTATATTGAACACGTCACCAACTGGCTCTCAGCCATCAGGCTTTCCTCTACAGACAATTTTGAAGAGCATTCCCTTTGCCAATCCTCACCTGGATGTTTTCTAGCTGATATTCCAGATCACTCCTCTCTGTCTTCAGCAGATCAGCCCGATCTAGAGCTTCTTGCAGCCCTTGAGTCAGACGGAAAATATGATTCTTCTGCAGGTCCATCTGCTGCTGTAATTTGGCTTGCTAGTGGGAAGAAAGGCCGGAGAAAGGCTCGCTGCCACTCACAACACAACGTGCTCCCATACTGTTCCTACTACCAAACTAACTTCAGGCCTGGCACCGAGAGTCCAGCTTCTGAAATCATCTCATTCCAGAATTACCAACTGTCTCCTATTCCAAAATGATGCATGCACAGTTAAAATGAATTTGCACAGAAACCTCTGAAGGCCAGTAGGTCACAGGGTGCCTGCCATAACGGGAGGTTCAGGCTGCTGGGTCTGGCTCCCCAGTCAGAGCTGCAATGAAGGCTACTTCAGTATTTAAGAGTGTGAGCCATCCGAGTTGACTTCTAAGGCTGTGTGACTTAGTGCCTTGACAAGTAAGTTCCAGTTTGTCCTTACTTTTTGGTTTTGAGATCTCAATTGCTATTAGGAGAAATTACTTTGTCCAGGCCACGGGGAATGAACAAAGGGGAATCCCATCACCTCCAACTTAAAGGGACCCCAGGCTGAGAGGCCCCTACAAGCACACAGTAGCCACAATCATAGGAGATATTTCTACAGTGTGCGGAAGAAGGAAAAGGAAGATCCCAGGTTCAGTACAAGTGTTGGTAAGGCCCCCCAAAAATTTTCAATTTAGTATATTGGAAATAGTTCTGTGCTGGAAATATCTCTAAGTTTTACAATGGAAGTCAACTAAAAAATAGGGCAGGCTGTAAAGATACTGGTTTTATGGCTCTTTCCTAAAATGCCTGTGTAAAAAGCAGGAGGGAGCCGCTATCCTGACAAGATGCTGCTTGATCTCCTCCAACCCTTGGGTTACAGTCTAACCACACTTGCTGTGACCCAAAAACTCCCTTCCCAGGTAGCCTATACCCTCTGCAGACTTGAGGACAGAGAGTTATTAAACAGTAAAACACATCACCACGGGGGTTTTCCGGCAGACACCGGCCAATGTCAGTGCTCTCAGACCCCGCAGGCCAAGAGCTACTGCCGACCTCAGACTGCTGACGTTCTCTGTCTTTCTTCACTTCCCACCGCCTGTTTTTCTGCCCTTCTCTTGAGAGGTACCTGATTCCTTGAGGCATCACAGCATAAAGAACTGAACCTGGGCTTTGGAATGTGAGAGACCCTGGTTTAAATCTGATATTGACACTTATCAGTCATATGAACGTGGGCAGCTCATACTGCCTCTTGGAGCCTCAGTTTCTTCATCTGAAAGTGGGTATAACATCTCCCCTCACTGGGTGACATACTGAGTGCAGTACTGAGCATACAGTAGGTGCTTAATGAACTTTAGTGCTCTCTACCTCCTTTGTCATTCTTTCTTCCCTCCATCCAGCCCAGGTGCTCTCCTTTCTTTCCCATCTGCATTTCCAGTCCCACCTACTCCACCAGCCTCTCCCCTATCAATCCTCCACAAGACAGGAGGTCCTGTTACTAACCAAAGATCACCTGGCCTGTGAGCCAACCTGGAATTTCTGAATCGAACCACAGAACCTCCTAAAATAAATTTTGTTTAAAAAACCAAAGGAAAACAGCTAAGATAACCTATTCAAGGGATCTATCCAACCCCCGCAGCACCAGTGATTTCTTCTGCAAATTACCCTCTTTAGTTTCTTCCCACTATTTTAGGACAACATTAATTACTAGGAAGCAGAGAAACAAGCTCTGGGAACAAGAGTGTGTTTGGTGACAGCCAGGACCAAGATTCTTTTCTAGAATAAACATAACAACCGTCCCTTAACTTTCCAAGAAACAGGCTGCTTATTTACCATAACAGAATACAAGTAAGAATGACACTTGTGATCAATAAGATGTTTTTCAAAACCATTTACCTGCTCCCCAGAGAGAGGCAAATGGAGGCTATTCCTGGTCTGTGTTAGACTGAAAGGAAGGCTTTAGCTATGTTTCCAATGCACTAATAGTGGCTGTAAAGTGACTTGTTGAAAAAGCTTCTGGGGCCATTTAGGGCCCAAGAGGAAATATTTGGGAGAAAGATCCATTAATAAAGTCTGCTACGGGCAGGGATGAAGGGATAAAGTTTCAACTCTCAGTGAAATCTGCCTCAAACTCAATGTCAGCCAGGTGTCTGCGCTCAAAAATCTATCGGTGAGGTACAGACTGGGAAACTGGAAGTGTTCTCATGTGGTTTAGAAGTGACAATGGGGGGACTGAATCAGGACTCCAGCGTTCTATTCCTAGCATTGCCACTGACTCACCAGGTAACCTTGGACCAAAGCATGGAGCTGTCAGGCCAGCTCTCCTTCCTCGGAAGGAAAATAGGACAGGCAACATCAATGATTATCTCTGTTCTTTCTGTTTCCAACATGTGCCTAAAGCAGGGACATTGCCTATTCATTCCAGATAAAAGACCACAACTCTCTGTTGGACCACCAGGTAGACTTTTAAATTTCTACATATTGTTCTTAGTGCTGCCTTTAGTAAACTTCCCACCCATATATATAATTAATTTTACTTAGATCTCTCATGGGGCAAAATATATAGCACATAAAATTTAACATTTTAACCATTTTTAAGTGTGCAGGTCAGTGGCACTAAATACATTCACATTGTTTGTTGTGCAACCGTCACCGGCTCCATCTCCTAATCTTTCCCAAAATCCCGCCCATATTTTTTAAAGTATTATTCTATCAAACACTCCATAATCACCTGCAAAATTTTCACCCCATTTTTTCAAACTTAACAGCACAGCAATATTATTTCCACCAGCAGAGCCCTTTGGCAGCTATGGGTACCACATGCTAAAACCTCAATTAAGCAGGAGAGGCACTCTGGTTAACTGAAGTGTCAGGCTCACTGTGGGTTCAGCAGAACCCTCTTGGAGTCCAACTTCACTGTAAATATCTTTGTACTGCTTGGTCCATTCTAATGAACAAAGCAGAATCATTAGTGATTCAACACGCCGGGCTCTGCTTGGAAGTGGGAAGCAGCTGCCGCTTTCATTAGCAGTTTTCTGATTTCTGCTACGAGTATAGGAAATAGCATAAGGGATGGGTTTAAGAGATCATGTGAGCTTTTCATTTTGTGTCTCAAAAGCAGGGCATAATTTTTTAATTGAATTAACCAAATGTTCAAAAGTATTCATGAAACTTGGTCCTCAGCATAATCTGATCAAGTCTCTGCCCTGTGTGCCCAGCGAATCTGCATGGATGTTCCATCAGCCTGGAAACTTAATAGACTTTGAATATTAAGAACAATTTAACTCAACACTCATGCACTCACATACTGAATAAACTCCCTCTGGGCACATACTCACCATGGGCTCGACATTCTACTAAGTACCGTGTGGGGGAGACACAAATGACAGAGACCCTCGGGCCTTTTGTGACACTTTAACATGTTAAATACCTTCAAGAAAGTAAGAAGTGGCCACCTAACTCTTCCTCGGAACTTCCAGTTGCAAAATGTGAACACCTAACTTGGCCCCGACCGCCAAAATGCAGCAGACTCTCCTCTCGGACCCTGCTCTGGGCGGCAGGTCCCACTCACCTCCTCCAGCAGCCTTTGCTTGAGCTCGCGCTCAGTCTCCAGCTTCTGCTGTAAACTGCGGGCATTCATTTCGAGCATGGCGTGTTTCTTCTCCAGGTCACTGAGCTAGACGTTTGGAAAAATTGGCCGTGACAGCACATTTAGGAATGTTGGATGCTAACAACTTTTGCAAATATCCACAAACCTTTGCATGTAAAGAATATAACCAAGTTCTAAAGGTCAGAACACAAATACTGTGTCTTAAAAGTGTACCGCAAAAGTCTATGTCGGAGACAAGCCTTATGCGGGTCATTTCTGTGAGGACAGGAATTATTTGTGAGGGGGGTCGTATACAGAGCTGTGACGAGTTCTAAGAGAATAAGCATTGAAGGATTTACTTATCTGACATGCTGTGGCTAAATGAAATAATATTCATATGCTGAACACTTACTACTTGCCCAGGATAATTTCAGGGGCTTTGAGGATAAAAGGATTGACAAGCTCTCTCAAGCACATGACATCAAGTCACAAAGGCAGAGAGTGGCCCTTAACTAGACACGTACATGAGTAATGAGACTGCTTCGTAAGATGTTAATTTTGATGAGAGGTATGAAGAAGAGAAATTCATCCTGAATCACCAGTCATCAAGAAGAGATGGTATCAGAATGTCTGGAGCCTTAAAGGATGGGTAAGACTTTGCTACAGAATATTTTAAGAACGGTCAAATAGAAAATAATATTCTTCAAGTTAAACACAAAAGGGTTCACTTACCTCTAAATATTTTTATTTTCATCATGGTTACAAAAATAATAAGACAGTGCCCAGGAACTCAGGATTATTCCTGAGTGGCAAGCTCTAGCCTTGAATCTAATCATTGTATTTCTATAAATTTCTAGTAAGAAAATAATCATGGATGTCCATAAAGATTTATGTTCACCACTGTTATTTATAATAACAAAAGAATTGGAAGGAGCTCAAATTTCCAATACAAGTGGAATGATTAAAGTAAGTACCTCCATGGAATTGATGTTTTTAGAACTACATGTTCAAAAAATATTCGATAACTCAAGAAAAGCCCCTAGTTATGTGTTGTTGTTTTTTAAAAAAGATGTAAAGCTGTTTCTATAGTAAGACCCTAAATTTATAAATGTCTGTGTGTACACAGAAACATGTCATGCAAAGAAAAGGCTACAAATAACGTCACCAATTTAATAGTGGTGATGGACTACAGTCATTTTTTCTTTTATTTTCTGTGGTTTCTATGTCTTCCACAATTACCTCAAGTAATTCCTTTTATAATCATGAAATAACAGAGTCATACAAAATACAAAATCCAGATGACTGTGTGTGTATGAAAGAGTGTCTGTGAGTATACATGAAATTTCTCTGATCTTCACTCTTGTTATCTATGACAATGAAGCACCTATTTTAAATCTCTTTAAAGACTATTAGATAAAAATCTCCAAATCACTGATCTACCACTTTGTAAATATGACAAGGAGTGTTACGTGGACAGGACACATATTTCCAATGTGAACTACTGAGGACTTGCACTGTCATCAGATTCTATCATGTCCCTGGACTTGGAACCCGGACAGACAGAGCTGCCTGTTATTGCAGTGATGGAGTGAGCATGAGTCCTTGCCACCAAGCACCTCCCGAGGATGCTCAACATTAAATCCATAAAGCCTTCTAGAAACCAAGTGCCAGAAAATGAGAGTTGTATGCCCAGACCAAAATTCATACCTCAGGGGCCCAGACAGGGAGATGTTAAGAAGTTACTGACTGACTGAGATACACCAGTACCTACCACACCCACCACACTTCTGCCACCCAAGGGTGTCCCATGGTGATCTGTAACTGTGGAACTTGACTGGAATGAGTAAATGCCTATTTATGAAATACACTGACCGTAGACTGCTTTTGAATTTTTATCAATCACGCCTTCTACAAGTCGGAAGTGAGAATGTTTTCCTAAAAGGCAGGCGGGACGGGCGCTGACCTTGTCAGAGAGGCTCTCAGCTTTCAGCTTCTGCTCTTTGAGAGCCTGCTGCAGCGCGAGAATTTCGGCCTTGTGCTCCTTCACAGCCAGCTCGACCACCTGGCGTGACTCGGTGATGCGCTGATCGGCTCTTGCCCTGTGGAAGAAACAGGCCCACTTTCAGAAGCCCCATCCTCATGGATCTGGAGAAAGGAAGCTGGCCGATCTCTAGTCCTGACGAGCAACTGAACAGGCTGCGGGCTGGACAGATGCCCAACCCTGACTCCTAGTTCCAAACTATGTCTTGCTTCCTGACTTATTACAGAGCGAAGGTTTGACCCACTTAAGGCTTTGGGTAAAAATACTCTTAAAAAGTAAATTTCCTGTGAGGATTCGCTTGGAAAGACTGAACAGAAAGGGCATTTTTCCAAATGCAACTGGGCTGATGGGATGTGTCAAAACTGTCACACCCTCCCATGGGAGTGGAAATGGAATCAGGTCCCAGTGAAGGGACGACCGGGTACAGAGGATCATGGGAGACCCATTTGAGCAAACATTTCTTCCCCTTAAAGTATATACAAGACAAGACGTTCAGTGTTATGTGTGTTAATCGGGAAACCAAAACTTGAATCTGAGGAATGTATCTGTAAACAAGGTTAGAGAAAAGAAAAAATAGACACAAACTGGAAGAATCACTTCCCTTCCCCATGTAGGTCTCTGTTTTACCTCTTGCACACCTGGGCGTGTGGCAAGCTCCTCCACAGGCAACGCTCTCCTCCCCTGCCCTGCAAACCCCATCCCGCCTCAGCAACTAAGGACACACTCCAAGGCCACGCTCTCCACAGTCTTTCCCAGCTTCTCCTTGCAGAAGTAACCTCTCCTGGCTCTGTATCTAAAGCACAAGTGTACTTCTTTCCCGGCCCTCCCCGCTCTCTATTTAGCTGATAAACATTTGAATGCATAGTGTATCTCCTCCACTGGACGCTTAGCCTCTTGAGGACAGGAATTAAGAATTAGGTTATGTTCATCTCGGTATCCCACACAGCACCAAAGTGGGGGGTGGGGAGAGACGCTTTATAACTGCCCCTGAAAGTATACATAAAATATCTACCTAGGCACACCCCATGATTATACCTCCCCTGAGTGCTTGTGTATTTCTTAATGCTGAAGTCAGCCTCCAAAACTGTCTCTGAAGGACTCAGAAACAGCTAGGAGCTGGACTTAAGGGCAGAGAGAGGGGGTCTGTGTGAATGCAACCAGAACATACCCTGAAGATTCGGGGGACCGAGTTGTGAAGGAAACAACAGGAGGTGTTAAACCAGCAGCCCCTCACATCAGCAAATACCCTGAGTTGGGGGATGTCCAAAATGGGATATTTCTACCAGTTTCTCTTGAAATTTAAGGGTTATCATCTTTAGCCTCTAATATTTTCAAGTTTAACTAACTTAACATAGACTGTAACATCCAACACATTTAGTTGAGTCTCCTATGGTCAAGTAAATGTGAAAATACCAAAATGAGTCTGACAGAGTCCAACTAAATGATAGATATTTCTATGTACAGTTTGTCTTGCGTAAGGAGTATCACAGGAAGGTAAGTTTCAGAGGAAGGTGATGTTGGCGAGGTTATGAAGGATGGACAGGATTCAGCTGTGCAGGCATGAAGGCATGGGGCTAACTCTAGTCTATGTGGTGCCTTGGTGTAAACTGGAAAAAGGCACCTGTTCTTCAAGGCCATTTATTTCCATCTATTGGTAAACCATTGTAATAGAGCAATTTTGTTAGAGCAAAACACTTTCCTGCCATGAGCTGTGTGTGAGACTATCCTAATAAATCTTGCAATCTGTGCTATCTTGGTGTGAACAGCACCGCCAGGAGCTATGCAGGACACAGCCTGCACTGTCCTCACCCTGGCAGGAAGAGGTTCTATGCCGGGGGGCTGGAAACAAAGGTGAGAAAGCAGAGGAAGAAGACTGCCTGAACTTATTTTTTTCCTAGCAAGAGAGAAAAAACTAAACTATTCTTGTAAAGCAGGAGTCATGGACCATGTCTGGAGACATGTTTGGTCATCACAACTTGAGGAGGGGAGTGCTACTGGCATCTAGTGGGTACAGACCAGGGGGCATGCTCAACATCCAAGTGTACACGGCAGCTTCCATGACAAAGGGTTATCCATCCCAGTCTGTCAATAGGGCCAAGGTTGAGTAACCCAGGGTAGAAGGGAGATGAGCACTGCCCATGACCAGGATTAAAATGGTGATGGGTCTTGCTATATGATCGCCATGATATGAAACCTGAGGAAAGAGCTTCTGCAAATGAAACACTGAGACATCTGTCCTGCTCTGACTCCCAGGTCTCTCCACGGGGTAAATGGACACCAGCTAATGCCACAGAATCCAAGTGACACTGGCCAGTTACAACTAGGGTGACCACCCTATCCTGGTCTTCCCAAGAGCCTCCCAGTTTTAGCACTGAAAGTCTTCTGACCCAAGAAACTTCTCAGTCCTGGGCAAGCTGGGACAATCGGGGTTCATAACTCTCCGGTGATCCTGCTGTAGTCACCTGCTGTCAGCTCTCTACAAACAGAAAGTCCCACCTGCTCTGCTTCTCGGTGTCCAGCATCCTCTGCAACTCTCGAACCCGACACTCAAACTGGGACTTCTCGTCACCGAGGACGCTCCTCCATGCCTCCCACTGCCGCTCCTTTTCTAGCAGCTCGTCGTTCAAGGCCTCCAGGTCCATGACCTGTTCTTCCAGCATCGTGCACGTGGTCTTCAGAGCCTCCATCGTCTGCAAATCATACCACTGAGTTGCGCCTTGTGTCAAATGAGGATTTCCTGGATCTGGCCTTTGTCTGATCAGTTTCAGAAAAGCACCCGTTTCTCACTACAGCCAGAAATACAGTTTTTACCTTTTCCTTCTACTGACCAAGGGGACCGGACGAGAATGGATGAAGGGCTATTTCTGCCGCCACCCCAGAGCAAGGCCAGGGGGAACAGACCACGAGCAGTGTATTTTATTTTTAATTTATTTTAAATTTTTTAAATTGATTTTAGAGAGAGAGGAAGAGGAGGAGGAGAGAGGTACAGAGAGAAGAAGAGGGAGAGAGGGAGAGAGAGAGAAACATGAATTTGTTGTTCCACTTATTTATGCATTTATCAGTTGATTCTTTTATGTGCCCTGACCAGAGATCCAACCTTGGACTATCAGGATGATGCCCTAACCAACTGAGCTACCCAGCCAGGGCTATTTTTAATTTTTTAAAGTCAAAACAAAGAACTACACAATTTTAAAAGCCATTGTTAAAAACCCCCCCAAGCCTTGGAAACACAGACATGAATATGAGAAAGAGGCCCTTTCCTGGCAAGGCTCAGCCTTGGGACCCTGGGAGATGCACCAGGCACTCACGCTGACCGGAGGGGACCAGGGATCTCTGACACTGTTGCCGTCCTTACTTGCTTCTGGCTGGTGAGTTGCATCTCTCTCTCCGTGATCTCCCGGCGGAGATGGTCCACTTCACTTCGCAGCTGCACTATCTCATCGTTGGCGCCAGAAGCCTCATCGAGTTGTTTGGACAAGTAGAAATTTTGGTTGTTGAGCTCAGCGTTGTCCTCCGTCAGCTGGTTCAGCTGCTCCTCCAGGTCTGTGATTACCTAAAAGATAAAAGGAATCCGGTTACCCGCCAAGCAAGTTGATTGTAAATGAGAAACCGCTTCTGGAGCCGAGGGTTTCTGAAGCTGTGGGACAGTGACAATCAATGAGTGGCTCCCGTGTTTGCTGCGCTGACTCCACCCGCGCCAGCAGAACCCAAGCCCCCGTGCCCACCCACTGAGCACTGACCCACGCTGTGCTAGAAAGAGGAAACTCCGCTTCTTTCTAACTCAGGATTCATCCGGGAAACATGGCAAAAGCAAATCAATCAAAAGTGAAGGCCATACATAAGGGGCAACTCTAAATGAGATAAAGTTCATGGACAATAATATAACGTGGAAAAAAGCAAATTGGGGAAAGGAATGAAGACTGGTCTCACAATCGGCTGATTAAGCTAAAATGCCCACAATACCATCTACAGGACATTAGAATTGGAGATAGTCTTAGAAAGCAAAATAAAGTTCTTATCGAGGAAGACTGAGTGAATGAAGGGCACTAAGGGTTATTTTAATACTGTCTCTGGCAATATATTTAATTTCATGCAACAAAGGAAAAAGAAACTTTAGGGAAGCTCAGAGTGATCCCGAAACTACAATATTGTACTATGGCACCACTTAATGGTTTTTATTATACAGTTAGCTATCAGAAAAATGGGAAGGTGTGTATATGAAATTGTCATTTTACTGAGAGAGATTTTTAATCAGGTTTGGCTAAATTATTTCCCCGCTCAATGGCAGAATGACTTCAATCTCACTGCTTTTAGCTTTCCTAGTCTCTTTGCTGAGGCTCAGTATCAGCACTTGCAGACAGCTCTAACACACAAAACTCCAGAAGTTTAAGGCCAATTTTCTTATAATAGCGGGAATGAGGCACAGAGGCAGTAAATTAAATTTTATGTAACAAAAAAAGATGTAAATTAAAAGGAAATGCCTTTAAGCCTATGGTTATTAATTGCTTCGAATTTCCAAACTAAGAGTAGAGTTACTTATGTTAACACTGTTTCTATGACTAATTCCCTATTTTAACCACCTCTGATAAGCAATTAAAGAAATATCTTCCCGGGCACACAGAAATAAAGAACATCAAGTAAGTACATTTGTTCAATGTGGCTCAGAAGACAGGTTTTCATTTTATTAACTGAGCTGATGGACTTTTATGTAGTAAATGGTCTAGGAATTTTAATTTTAATGTCAGAAGTCATGTTAATTCCTAATGTACTGGTCTGAAGTATGCTGTCAGCTACAGAAGGGGGAATAAAGGTTATCTGGTCAGTTCCTTACCTGAGGCTCCTTCATGGGGGGTTGGTAAACACTGCAGGTTTATGCCTCATAGGGATCCCTGTATAACCCTTTCTGTGACACAGTTAAATCTCCTAAAACCATAGGTAATGAATAAACAACGTCTGATAGAGTTCAGCTGGTCACCTTCTGATATATAGTAAACACTCCTTAAGATAGTTTTCATACTAGACTGCGGATGTCTCTATTTAACTATGATGCTTCCTTCTGCCTCTTTCCCAAAGAAAAACAAACTGAGGCAAACTGGCCTGAAAGCTATGCAGTAAAATGAATTCAGGAACCCCAAATAAGCAATGCTGAACTTTGCTGGGTTGGTTTCTCCTTCTGTGTCATGGAGATACACAGTATATTCTCTACCCTCTGTTGCTACTGTTTTAATGTTCTGAACTGTCTTGCATACCATTCCACTTTAATGTACCATGTAAAATACAAGGGATAAAAATGACCAACATGATGCTTCATTGTAAAGATTATAACGGTATCTCTTGGGCAGCAGAGACTACGGAAAGTCTGTTCCCCTGGGAATACAGGCATTGCCAAAATCACCACCTTGCCATCTGAAGACATATTTAAGCCTTTGGGTACCCACTTCCTTTGAAATTTATGAAAAGGAAATGCAGTTTGTTATGAATCCATTTTTGCCACCTCTTCTCTTTCTCCTGAAATTAAATTACAAATTGCTTCAGAAGAAACACTTGAAAAGAGTCAATGAGGTGCCAAGATTGTTACTCTCACTTAGATTGAGATGGGACCACTGGAGCAGGAAGGGTCCTTCTATTTCCCTGTTGCGATCTGGTTTTGGGGGGTGGGGGTGTCTCACATCTGATTCCTATTTACAGTTTATGAGTACTCGTTCTAGACTTTGTTACTGTCTCTGTGTTGCCCCACGGACAGGAGAAGGAATATGTGCTTGTGTGAAGCACCCAAGGACTCATTAAAGCATCTTAACTCACTCAGGCTTTCTGTACATTCTTCCTGCCCAAGTCGTAACATGTGTAGCTTGTGATTCTTTCAAGTTGCTGGAATTGTGGTATTAAGTGTTACACACACATACACACACAACTGAGTTTGCAGATATTAAACTGACTTGAGACTAAGTAGTAAATTAATGGTCTCCAAGGTTTAAAAAAAATTATAATAATAGACTTTTATAATAACAGATGATTTTGAACCAGGTAATGCACAAGGAGAATTCTTGGGTCCACTTTGTGGCCTTTGGTATATTCTCTCCACACCAAGGGCAAATGATCTTTTTATTATATTAGGGTCTGTTAACCTTTCCACTCCAAAAATAGGGGGTAAAAAAGATAAACTGAAAGCCTGGTTCCATCTTAACAGCAAAACAGATGAGGGAGACAGGAGCTGCCAGAGCTTTCTTATATACTGTTTTTGCAGATAAGATATCTTGGTGCAGTTCTAACAGAAAACAGGATATAAAAAAACGATGTTTGTCCAAAAAAAAAATTCTCTATTCGGAGTTATCTGTAGCTTTTCAAGGCTTTCGTGCAAACCTCATGGTTCTGAGAAATAGATATTAACCTCTCACCTAGTGAGGAGACCTGCAGAGGGAACATGACCAGTAAATGTTCAATAGCCATTAGAGGTGAAGAAACCCATCAGATAATGAGCATCAGGCTACAAAGACACAGGACTGAAGTCCTATTTTAATGCCTGGTTCTTTCTTGAAGGCAGCTATTTGCATATTATTTATTTTTAATCTCATAGCTGACAGATTGATTCATAATTAAAACTGTGTCATATGTTTGCCCACCAACTCCCCTCCAAAACAGACTTAGGTAGGGTTTTAGGTGCCAGATTGAATCAAATCCTTTTTTTAAATCTCTTCGAAATATAGAAACAGTCAGGGCTTGAAAATCTTACTGTTCATGAGCTTTCTAAAAGCTGATAACTGGATGCTTCTGTCAGTTGAATTAGTACATAGGAGTGCCCAACAGTAAGGAAGACATTTCCTACTGGAGACGATTTGGACAGCACCAACGAGAAAGGAACATCTACTGGGCTCACTGAGGTCGCTTTGAACTTGGTGAAAGTATAATTGAGATTGACTATTGCTGCCAAATGTTGTTCTATAAGGGCTGGCTTTCAAACTTTTTTAAGTAGCAGAACCCTTTTCTAAACAAAGGATTTACTTTCATGTCATAAATCCAATATAATAAATAATAGTAGCCAACACTGTTTAGTACATTCTATGGACCAGGCCCTGTGCAAGCACTTGGATACATCATCTCATTTAGTTCTTGCAAGAACCCCATGGGGTAGTATTGTTACCAAATTTCTGATTCTATGACTCAGTGTTTCCTGAGTTTTATTGTTTCTGAAGTTTGAATGTATATTGGAACTAAGCAGCTGTCTCCCTTGCCTCACCCAGCCCCCAAAAAGCAGTTTTTAAATAAGTTATGTGTCTAACAATCAATGATGCACTGGAATCAAGGACAATGTTATCTCCATTTTACAGATGAAGAAATAGAGGCTTGGGAGGACAACATCATATATGCTACCAAGAGGCCAATTTAGAATGTGAACCTGGTCTGCCTGACACCAGAGAGCACGTTTGGACTCCTAAACTACGCAGCTGCTCTAGCAGAAATGTGGGTGCGGTTCCTCCTCCCACTTGGAGAGGTCCCCAGAGGCTTCTCCACAGAATGCCAGGGGTTAGTAGAGGAAGGACTATAAGTCACTGTTCCAGAAAAAGCAAATCTGAAGAATAAAGAGAGTCTGGAAGTTACATAAGTTAAGAAAGGAACCGAATTCATTCTACATATTGCCATATTCTATTAAAAACTAAATTTCCAATTTTAAAAATGTGGGGGAGCGTGGATGACAAAGGAGCACAAGGAAACTTCTGAGGGTGATGGATATGTTCATGATTTCGAGTGTTGTGCTGGTTTCACAGGTTACACACATCTCAAAACTCATCAGGGGTTTGTACTCCAATTACACCTCAATAAAACTGTAAAAAAACTTATTAAAAATCTTTATGCCAAAAAGACTAAAAAAGAAGAAGAAAGGAAATCTCCAGATGAAGGATTACTGATGTACACATTGAAAATACACCCAAGTTTCTTTTAGGAACATAGAGTAATCTAAAAATATCACAGCCATAAAAAGACCTATACTTTATTTGGTGATCATTTATGTATGTAATGTAAGCAAATAACTCTTGTGTAAAATAAGAAACCAAGGCAAAAGAAACTAAAACAAAAGAGTACAGTAACAGAATTCATCAACTCTTTGAGGACAGGAAGGAGAATGGAGGAAATCAACAGACATTTCTAAGGCGGGCCCACCCTGATCCAGCCATCAGCATCAGGAAATAACCAAAACCCACCTGCCAGGTGCCTACTAGAGTCAAACAAGAGGCACAGCTCATGACCTAGCTATTCCGCTCTTGGGTATATGTTCATCAGAAATAAGTGCTTATAGTAACCCAAGGACGGGTGCAAAAATGTTTTCTAACAGCTTTATTCATAGCAAAAACAATCCAAATATCCATTGACAGGAGAATGGATAAACTAACTATTCATACACTGGAAACACCACACCATAATGAAAGAGAACAAATGCTTGACAGATACAACATGGATGAACCACAGAGACAATTTAAGTCAAAAAAAAAAAAGCTAAACCCAAAAGAGCTTCATTTATTTTTTTTTTAAATATATCTTTATTGATCTCAGAGAGAGGAAAGGAGAGGGAGAGAGATAGAAACATCAATGATGAGAGAGTCATTGATCGAGCCCACAACCCGGGCATGTGCCCTGACCGGGAATCGAACCCCGATCACCTGGATCCCAGGTCGACGCTCAACCGCTGAGCCACGCCCGGCCGGGCAAAAGAGCTTCATTTAAATGAAGTTCAAGAACAGGCAAAACTGATCTATGGTATCAGAGGTCAGAACAGCGGTTACCCTTTGGGCAGAGGATGCTGATGAGAACATGAGGGAGCCTTCTGGGGGCGGAAAATGCTCTGTATCTATGTTGTGGCTACACAGCTGTCTACACATGTAAAATTCTGTACAGTTTATATACTTTACTGTGCACACTTTATACCTAAACTAAGGGGGGGGAAGCATCAGGACTTAATATCCCATTCTTGGTAAGGAGGAAAGGATGAGTTCATTACCATTACAAGAAAATAAAATATGTATGGGGGGCGGCACTCTGGAAATTCACAGGCTCAAATAATGCAAATGGAGACTAGCTCACCGAGGACTGACTAAGGAAGCAATAAAGCAGTGAAAGGACCAAAAAGGCAGGCAGTGGAACCATGGGTAAAGATAACATCCTTGTCTTCTGAAAGAGGCCTATGTCAGTCCTTCCTTTTGAGCAAAAAATAGACTTTGCATTTCCATGACCCTAACCTATTACATAATCTATGAATGATGCTTATCTGTGCATAGAATTTCTTCTTCTCAATATAAATAACATCTTCCAAAGAGTCCTAGATTTCAAATTTGCATGGTAGGGAGCCAGATTTTACCTGTTAGGAAGTTAAAACTTCTAGATCTTTCCTCCCTGCAGAAGCAGCAGGCTAGAGAAGCCTCACACATATACCTGCCCTTACCACCTGGATAATCTCTGGCTTGGGCTAGCCTGGGAACCTTCCACATTGGAGAAGACCAGGGAGCTGCTTTGGGACTTTTGTTGCAGCCACTGAAACCTATTAGTGGTTTTGCAGTGAGAATTGTGTGCATCACTCCTGGTTTTAAATGTTTAAAACAGGCAGAAACCCAAGAAACTGAAGTTATCTGGGGCTCAGAAACGTCAAATCAGTTTGAAAGCATTAACTGCTGAAAGTCTGTATCAAAAATTAGTCACTGATATCACAAAGAGATGTCCCGTTTTTCTTCTGTTTGAATGTGACGCTATTTTAATCATCTTTAGTTAATACTCACAGTACAGCTGTTACGAAGGGCATCAAATTTGCGCTGGATTTCATCTCTATGTGCCTAAAAGGTAAGAAGTTGATTATAAATTTTCCATAGGGAGGAATACAATTGTACATGCTACGGGTCAATAAAGAGCACAGCATTTGCCTAGAAAGCCAAAAATGCTGATGCAGCAGTGCCAGCAACTTTTTCGAAGAATTAATCAAGTCATCCCCAACATCAGAAACGAAAGTTACAGGAACACATGATGCTGTGTTAGTAACAACTATTTTACAAATTGTAATTTATTTTTCAATTACAGTTGACATACAACAATGAACTACTTAGACCACACATGCCTACCTTTTACAAACACATTTGAACATTAATGCCTAGGGATGAGTGGAAGAAAAAAATACAACAAATCATGAAGTTTTTACTGTCCTTCCTTTGTCTTATTCCCCAACCTTAACCTTTCCCTCTCCCTCTAACTGACCCTCCCCCACCAAGCCTACTCCCAAGAGAGACAAAAACACACAGACACATACATACAGGACAACAGCCAGGACAAAGTAGGAACGTTTTTTTAAATCAAAAGCTGCTGAGATTCAGAAACCCCAGAGTGATCTTGAAATAAATATACAGGCAGAACCATTTCGTTCAGTTGACAAGGATTTTTTGAGTGCATACCACATGCCAGACACTGTGGTAATACAGAGTATGTAGGGCCTACCCCTTCATTCTGGTGACGGAAACTAGAACATAAATAAGCACATGACTACAAAGTGCGACAAATGCTATAAAGGAAACAGAAAAAGGGAATAAGGGGGTTTGAAAGGAACTTACTTGGCTGGGGTGGTCAAAGAGGCCTCTCTGATGAGGTGACATTTAAACCGAAACCTAAAGCAGGAGGAGCCAACCCCGCAAAGAACAGAAAAGGGCAGAGGAAACAGCATGTGCAAAAACCCTGAGGCAAGAAGGGGTTTGATGCATCTGATGAACAAAACAAGACCTGAGTGGCTAGAGCAGTTCTTTTTATTTCAAGCTGTGACCCAATGGAGAGCATGACAACTGGGGGTTTTTTTGGTTTGTTTTATCCAATGAAATGGACTACACGGGATAGAATTAAAAGCATCAGAATATACCTTTTCTAAAACAGAAGCCCTGCTGTAGAAAATTTGTTTGAGATAACAAAACTCATCAAGTTTAAGTTGCTCTCAATTGTAAGGCTATCACAATTTTATGTAACATTCAAAACAAAAAAGTGCTATCAATTAAACCATGACATGTTTATGGCTATACGACTATATAATCATGTACAGGCTATGATTATAAGATGCATCCTGATTTTAGATACCTTAAAATCCATGAAATACACTATATGCGCTCCCTTGTATAAAAATGCAAGGTAAAATGTATTCTTCGGTGGGTTGTAGCCAAATGATTTCTGAAAACTACCTGGCTAAAGCACAGGGAAGGGGGGGAAAAAAGAGACTAACAATTTTAACAAATCAAAGAGGATGACTTTGGGATCTTGTGATCATACGATGCTGGGAGGATTCCTTTCATTGCTGTCTCTAGCTTTTTAGACTCTTGATTACTGAGCATCAGTCATTTAACCAAATCAATAAAAGAACATGAAGGAAGGGACACGAAACATGATTGGAGGCCTTGCTGGTGTTCGCAGGGTTCACGCCACACCTGTACCCCAAGGCACCATTCAGTGACGCCCCCTCACGTCACACACCTGTGTGCCCTAAAGTGTGCACACTCAAATCTTCTTCCTTACAGGGCGGGGTTACATGGAGTCTGAAATTTCAAGGTCTGGCAGAAAATTCTCTCTTCCACCAATAAGCATGGAAGCATCTTGAAAGTATGGATTTTTGCTTAAATTTGACTCTCCTATTGGTCTCTACCTTGATTCAATCTCAACCAGTCAATTTCAACGCAAATGCAACTGACAGGATGGGTAAAGTGGGGGTGGGGGAAAAGAAAGCAGAAGACCAAGGATGGCTTCCCAGGGGGCCCCTGCCAAGCTCCTTCAATGCAGATCTTCAGTTTAACTGCAGGCGATCTAATCTGGCCCAGAGGCTGAGGCCAAATGGGGTAACTACTCCTTCCCAGGCTAGAGATGGAGGTCTCTTAGAAATAAGCAATAATAGCCCATTTGACTATTTCCTTTTATTGATAAAACAGCCTGCTATGAAGCTGACAAGCCTCCTGGGAGACAATTTTAGATCTAGCTGATTTAATTTGATGGATGCTTACGCTGGGTCTGAACTTGGGCCTCAAACAATGACAGAGAGGGCATCAGAGCACTTCATTTGTGACAATTTCCTCTTTCTCTCAGAAAATACATCCTTCAGAGAAAAGTAAACAGAGCCGTTCAGGCAACAACCACATGTGGCCCATGACCAGGTTTATAGGACGTAATCAAAAGGCGGGGAGAGCAAAAACCCATAGCCTCAAAACTGATCGGAAGCCAACTGACCTGGGGTTGGGATTCCTGCATGACGGGCTTCTAAAACAACTGTCTGGCCGAAGGTAGTTTTCTGCCATCACTTTTAAGAAGCCCTGTTTTCCATGGATCTTCATCTGTGAGCCTGGTAGAGCCCTAGTTTCTGGACCTAGGAAAGCTGTCTCTTTCTTTTTTCTGAGAAGATGCTCTGAGGCAGTGAGCTCATCTGACTAAATTAAGTCATGACTTGCTGCTGTGCTAGGCTCCCAGCAGCCATTAGACACAGCACATTCCAACCAGCAGCAAGGCAGGATTTAAAGACTAATTTCCCCACAGATAAACAGCAGTGACACAGGCTCTATTTTATACCCTCCTCCTTCCAAAGGGAAGGATAAGATGCTCGGCCACCGCCCCCCCCCAACTCCAACTGAGCAGAGGGAGAAACGTCTTTCTCTTCCAATGTGAAAGGGTTTGAGGGACTACAGGCCAACCCCGGGGAGAAAAGGCTAATGACACAGCCCTAGACACACATGAGGACTCATTAAATGTGGATTAAATTACTTACGTCTCCTCTTTCTTCCAGTGGTTGGGTGTTCATACAGGGACGAAATATTATCATACAATGCATTACATATAATTCTGGTTCGATTTTTAAGTGTCTCCTTTAGCAGCTAAGAAATGTTACCTGGCTGTCTTCCTACCTGTCCAGCCAACTCCAGAAAGTGTATGAGCCTTTGCCTTCACTCTTAAATATTCATTTCATTCCTAACTCCATTTTTTCCTCCTATAGTCTTATTTTCTCTTTGCCTTTTCTTTCTTATTTATCCTGTTACACTGTTTTGTATCTTTCTAAACTGCTTTCAATACATTTTGAAACAAACCAAATATTGGGGGCTTGTGGCATCAACCATGTTTAATAAGTTCTCATAGAGACAACAGAAATTCAGATTGCTGTTGGTATCTGAACTTGACATCAAATCCTGGAAAATCTGGGAATCACAAGCACCTTCTACATGTTACTATGTTAGCCCCAGAATCCTGGAAGTCCCTGTGTCCCAGACTGGTCCATAAAGACCCTGGCACTGTCCAATAATGTTCCCAATTGGGTTCAGATGATGGGCTCTCCAAACCCAACAAAGGGAGCATAACTTCTAAGAATGAAACTAGTTTAAAAAATATACCATATCATACCAGAAGCATACATAAGACACAAAGCAGAATCTACAACTTAAAAAAAAGAGGAACATAGATAAGGTTAACCAAACAAATTAGAAATATGGTAGAAAGACTACCATTAAGTTTAAGATTATTATTTGTTTAATGATTATTGAAAATCAAAGTGGGGGATCTAAGTAAACAGACTTTGGCTAAAACTTAAATTCAAAATATAACGATGAGTACGCCTGAAACAAATATTGAATGTCAACTGTAATTGAAAAAAAGAAAAGAAAAAAAATAATGATGATTATTTTAAAAAGAGGGAAGATACATAACTAAAGGAAGACCTTTTTGAGATGCTAAGGAAAGCTCAGATATTATCGACTGATCGCAAACACTAATTCCAATGAAGGAGAGGCCTAGGTAAGCCAATTTCTGCCCATTCGACATCTCTATAGATTGTTTTTTTCTCTCTTGTAATTTCTAAGAGTGAGCAGCCATCTGAGGGGCCACTCCCCAGGCCTACCGTGAGCGCCTGGATCTCCTCTTCTGCCTCTGCAGTTGTCTCCTCCAGCTCTGTCTTAGCCTGGCGGAGCTGGCTCTCCAGGGCCGCCCGGGCAGCCTGCAGGGCCGTCAGCTGGGACTCGCGCTCTTGCAGGGAGAGTTGCAGCTCTGTGAGCTGGCGCTTTAGCTCCAGTTTCTGCTCCTCGTGCTCAAGGCTGACCTGAGACACAGAGAGAAATGCTCAGTTGACCTTAACTGTAAAGGAAGCCAGGATGTGACCTGCTGTTCAACATCTGTATGAAACTTGGTCATGGAAACAAATTCTTCAGCACTTGACTGAGGGGGAAAAACTAAACAGGTGTGACTTCTATGAGTCTCAAAAATCAACAGGAGTAAGCAAATGTGAGAGGATGTATATAAAACCAACCCTTACTTATAATATTCAAACGCTCAGGAAGGTTTCAAAAGGAAAACCACACAACAATCTCCAGTGGACATTATAACAAGTGCTCTTATTAGAAAAGCATTAAAAAGTAAACAGATATAAATAAGATCATATTAGTAATAGGAATACCTTTGAATCAGAATACAAATGGAACAGACTGAATTCTGTGTATTTTAAATATTCTTGCTCTGACTTGTTCCCATTAGGTGACCAGTACTAATGTCACATGATGAACATCTTCCTTCCATCTGCCCATCTAACCTTCTATCTACTCAGCGTTTCATTCATTCATATACGAAAAACTTAGTAACTTCTATGTAAAAAGGAAAATGGAGATAAAAGGCAATATCTGCCTTCAAGTTGAGAAGAAAAATGAAAACCGCCCATTATCATATATTGTGGTCAAGTGCAAGGGTCAGGACATGCAGGGACCTGATGCAAACACAGCTGGGGGTAGCAGAGGTACCTGCATCTGTGTTGGAGAACACAGGAAGCCAACAAGCAGCTTAGAGAAGAAAGAACATCCCATCCAAGGGAAGCACGGCAACCAAAGGCATGGAGATGAGGGAGATCATGGCACATCTATTGACCTAACAAGCACTGACAAGGCTGTCCCAGGAACCAGACTCTGTCGGACATTGAATACCAAGCAAGTAAGAGATGCTTGCTGCCCTCAGAGAGCTCACTATGCAACAGGGACTGCCAAGAGGTACACAGGGTGATGGCTAAACATGGAAGGCTGTGGGGACACAAAAGGGACATCAGATCCAGCTCCAGAGGATAGAAGGTTCCCCAGAAAAGGTAACATCAGAGTCCCAAAGGCCATATGGGTGAAGAGAAGAAAGATTTACCACACACTGAGCCCAGGGAACCAACAGAATTTAGTGGTTAGTTCAAATGGGGCAGGGAACTAAGGACAGAGGTGAGTCAAAGGTGAAATCTGCGTTTCTGGGCAGGTGCATTACACAGAGTGATACCATTGGTTAGGAGAGAGAACATGCAAGGATAGCCAGTCTGAGGAGAAAGTTAAGAAATTCAGTCTTGTCCGGCCAGAGTGGCTCAGCGGCTGAGCATCAACCTAGGATCCAAGAGACTGCGGTTCAATTCCCAGTCAGTGCACATGCCGAGCTGTGGGCTGGAACTCCAGTGGCGGGCATGCAGGAGGCAGCCAATCAATGACTCTCACCATTAATGTTTCTCTCTCTCTCTCTCCCTCTCCCTTCCTCTCACTGAAATCAATAAAGACATATTTAAAAAAATAAAGGCAGCACTGAAAGACAAAGATAATTTTTTAAAAAAGAAATTCAGTCTTGACGTGCTGAACTTGAGCAACAAGGGACGCATCAGGTGGGGATGTCTAACGTCTGCTGGGATGATGGGTCAGAAACTGGAGAAAGGTGTGGGTTGGTAAGTCAGGGGCAGCTGAAGTCAAGGCTGTGATCTCTCTCCAGTGAGGATGACGATGACGGTGATGGCAATGACAGTGACTTGACAGCGGCAGATGTACTTACAATGAGCCAGGCACTGTTTTAACTCCTTTCATCTTCATAACAACCCAATGGGGGAGGTACTACGATTACCTCCATTTTGCAGATTAGCAAACTGTGGCACAGAGAGATCAAATAACTGAGTAAATGTCACACTGAAAAAAGGGCAGGGCTGGTTCAAACCCAGGAAGCCTGGCTCCAACTACTTACTGTTTGCCTTATTAAAAGGCGAGCCCTCAGAGCAGGCTGCGAATCTACTAGCAGCCCTGGAAATTCCTGATGCCACTTGGCAAAACCATGAGAGGCAGGTGACAGCGAGGCAAGCGGAGGTGGGTGAGGATGGTGAACACTGACAGGAGAACCCAGGAGCCCTGCACGTTCAGGACTCCACATGATTTGCTGGAGGAGAGCTAACACTGCACATACTGGGTAGGGGAAAGCCTAGGGCCCTTTAAGGTGAATCAAACCCCAGGCTGCCCCCATCTCAATAGCAGCAGGCGGCAAAGAGAAGGTGGACCTGACTTGTTACATTTAAACCTAAGTTCAAGAGAGCAAATATAGCCCTGAGCCTCTCACAAGCATTCTACATTTCTCCTACCATCCTTGGGGGACTAGCTGTATTAATTTAAGAACAAAGCAACACACCTCCCCTGGGGCATTTTAATTGCCCAGATGAGTTAGACAGCCACAGGGCAGGAGAGGTAAGAGAAACATTTCTGGAACAAAAAGGCAGGACAGCCAGCCAATGTTCCCATGCTCAAAGAAATCTACCTGAGTTATTTACACTCACACTCTTAAAGCTGACCC